CTGGCCGATTTTTAAAAAAAACTCCCAGCTGTTAATACCACTTTAAGGGTTTTGTGTATTGTCAATGGAAAAAAGGCTCTCTCGCCACTGTACAGTATGTTTTTTTCTAAAAAATGTTGGCATTAGTAAACATCGTCCATGCCAGTGGCCAGGTGTCCATTCTTTTTGTTTGACAATAACTTGCTTTTTAGCAGAATTGAATAACAAGACTTGCCCCTTTTAGATTTCTATGGGGTTTGGGGCAAAATGTGTACAAAACCTGGGCCTGTTGGGTCATCACTAGTCCCTGCTTATTGGAAATAAATAATATTAATCACTTAAACTTAATTACAATCTGTATAATGGATATTCACTTTTGTACAGGCAATATGCTCCAACTTCCTCTTAAACACTGCAGAAACATTGTTGAATGTTGCTAATGTCCTTGGTACGACATCTGCTACTAGCACTTCTAAATCCTAGTAGTCACAAACCAAAATATGGGCTTTCTGGGGTCTTAATGGTTCTGTGGCCTAAGCTTTGCTCAGTCTGTATTTAAAGTATTACTGCACTATTCACAAGTGATTGTATTATAGTACTTGTTCCTGCAGTTCCAAAAATGCCAATATGTGGTTTTCAGTTTTCAGCCGCGTGGTTTGGACCTTGCAGAATTGTATTTCACACCTAGCTCTGCTGTCAACAAGCTGCTGTGGAGACATGGGCTGATCATTCAGTTCAATACAAAGCAGTTCGCCAAAGAATAACCTCTAGTAGTAGAAGTAAAATTTGATGTAGATACAGCTCAGGAAGATGGTAGACCATTCTGCTTGGCTCTGGAGTTATATGCTGTGAAGGTCATCCATTTTAATGCCATATTTGAAGAGGCTAAAGGGATAAGTGCAAATGCATAATTCATAGTGACCATGCCTTTATCCTTTAAGACGCTCTTGATTATAGCACTCTGATTAGTTACATTGATTTTGTGACCCGAGTCATATATCCGTAGTTTCAGCTTGGATTCGTAACAATCCTGTGTAATTAAACTGTCAAAGTCTTTATACAACGAGCCACCAAAAAACTGGGAATTTGTTCATCTATTGGAGGCACGCATAAGCTGGAAGTGCAGCATAATTAGTTAAAGGCATGATATAATACATATTATAGCTAATAACTATAAGGGGGAATTCATCAAAACTGGAGCAGACAAAATCTGGAGCAGCTGTGCATGGCAACCGATCAGCTTCTCTCTTAAGTTTGTTCAGTTAAGATTTGAAAATCAAAGAGAGAAGCGAATTGGTTGCTATGCACAGCTGCAGTAGATTTTGTCTGCTCCAGTTTAAAAAAAAATCCCTTCAATATGTTTATCTATTCTAGGCACATTGAAGCTGAAAGTGCAGCATAATTAGTTACAGGCGTGATATAATACATGTTATAGTTAATACTGATATGTTTATCTATTGTATGCAGACTTAAGCTGAATGTGCAGCATAAATAGTTACAGGCATGATATAATACAGGTTATAGATAATAACTTTATTAAATAGCTAAAATAGCTAAATTTCAAAGATGTAAAAATGCAGATGTAGAATTCAACCATATTAAGTGGTGTAATTTTTCCATGTATTGTTAATGGAGAACTATGAGGTGAGTGAAAATCACTCATCCTCATAGTTCGAGCCAACGTGTGACAATTAAACTATCACACGTCGGCTCAATAGATCGGGAAGTGAGTGAACACATACCGTCGCTCGCTCACTTCCCGATCATCTCCCTGCAGAGAGCCGTGAATGTCAGTCATGGCTCCCTGCAGGGATTCCCCCCCTCCCTTCTCCGATCCTCCAGCGCTGACTGGGGGAACGGATGGGGGAGGAGGCGTGTACAACGGGCTATGCCTCTAGATAGGCAGAGCCAGCTGTCACTCATGCAGCTGCGTGAATCTTGACAGTAATGTCCAGATCCATCCCGGCTGCGACAATCTCAGTATACCATGAGCGGTAAGTCTCGAGATATACTGAGCTTTGGGTCACGGTAGATCGCTAGTATATGTCCTCCCATAACCCTTAAGAGAACAATGGTGAAAAACACTTACCCCATAGTTCTATTTTCATATATTCGCATATCATGTTTACTAGATTGTGTTGAGATTGTAGTCTATCATGGGAGCGAGTTTGGAGCAGTGGCTACTTTACATACAACACACACGGACCAAGAGGAACAAAAGTAGCCGCCTTCCAGAAGGAAGGACAGAGGCGGCACAAACACAGAGATGATATGATTGTCTACTGCCCAGTGATGCACAAAAACACAAAAAGAGCTACCGTACATTTCTGTTAAGAGTTAAGGTACTTGAATTCTTTATTTACTTGTAACTCCCTTAGTGTCAACTTAGGTTCAATTCAGAACGTCTATGATTTTAGGGGGAAAAAAGGTAGAAATAATTACTTTGCCATGGCTCATTTCAGGTTCCAGAAAACGAATACATTCAGAATAGTTGGAAAAAGAACGATTAGAATTTTGTACAAAATCCCATGTTCCATTGGCACTGCATCTTCTATAGACCATTCCTAGAGGGAAAAAAAAAGATATATGTGCTTTAAGAAAATTAAGCATACATTTCCAAATATCTGACAAATGTCAAAAAATGTTAGAATCCCTTGAATATTGTCACAGACTATAGCTTCCTATTTCGCTAACAATGCCTCCCCCGAAGTGTCGGCGGCATGCACGTGGGAAGCCCACAAAGCGGTTCTGAGAGGTAGGCTGATGGCTGTGGGGGCTAGACGTGAGAGAGAACGGATGGCGGCCATGGCGACACTACTCAAGGAGATTCAGCGCTTAGAAGCATCTCATAAGAGTGTACAGGACCCCAAGACCCTACAAGAACTGTTGGCCAAAAGAGGTGAACTGCGCCTCTTACTGGAACAGAACACCACGAAAGCCTTTAATATAGTCTCCCGTAAATATTACAAACTGGGGGGTAAACCTGGTCGGTTCTTAGCAAGGGCACTAAGGACGAAAAAATCGGTCACCTTTATCTCTAAGATTAAAACGAACACAGGCGCTATGGCACATACCACTAGGGCCATTGCGGAGGTCTTCCGCAGTTATTACCAGGACCTTTAACATGTTAATAAATCGGAAGACCCCGGGGATACAGCGACCAGATTGGGGATGAATCAATCTTTACTTGCAGCGAGCCTCCCTACCCAGGGTCCCGGATTCCTTACTATCACAACTTGAAGCAGACATCACAGAACTAGAATTTAAATCGGTCATCAAGAGCACCCCCTTAGGTAAAAGCCCGGGCCCAGATGGGTTTACCCTACTTTACTATAAACGCTTCCAAGACATTCTAGCCCCTCACTTTTGCTCCTATGCCAATGCTGTCTCCAAGACTGCCCCAATGCGCCCAGAGTCCCTAACGGCCCACATCACCGTAATAGCCAAACCCGAGAAAGATCCCTCAAACTGCGCCAGCTACCGACCCATTTCCCTACTAAATGTAGATATAAAGTTATACGCTAGGATTTTGGCGAACAGGCTTTACCCACTCCTTCCGTCGTGGATCCACCAAGACCAGGTGGGCTTTGGGATCTCCCAATGCACCCTCCTTGCAGGACTGGTTTCGGAATGTGGATAACATCAAACTGATGGAGGAATTACTCTACACCTCCAAGGACTTGTACTCTACTTACTATAAGAAATGGGCGTGCTGGCTGGCCTTTCGAGACTCTGATACCTACCGTTCTCAATTGCTCGACACGGAGAATTGACTCCAGATGGACACAGTGGGTGAGAGACCTTAACACTGGATAAGGTGTGCCTACTTCTAGGAGGTTAACAATCTTGCGGGCTAGGTGTTTGGCTGTATATCTGTATCCTACATAGCTGGATAGTTACAAGCATGGGATGCCACACAGCCAGATTAATACAAAATGACAAAGCGACATTGTGCAAAACCGGTTAAGGCCTCTACCGTTTGAATCCGTGATGTTAGCGTCTATTAGACATGTGCACTGCCAAAAAATTCGTTTCGTTTCGTTTCGTTTTAAATTCGGATTTGTGTTATTTCGTTTTTCGGGATTCGGGTGTGAAAGTCAATTCGGATTCGGAATTCGGATTCGGACGAAATTCGGTAGCGTTCGCACGAACGTTCGTTTCGTTTTCTGTTCTTATTCGTTTCTTATTCGTTTCGTTCGTTTGCAGCAAAAGTGACATTTGAGGGGGAAAAAATATTTTTCTCCTTCTCTAATGTCACTTTGCTCCAACGAACGAAACGAATAAGAAACGAATAAGAACAGAAAACGAAACGAACGTTCGTGCGAACGCTACCGAATTTCGGAAATGGAAATTCGGATTCGTTTGCATTCGTTATGTCTGTAATTCGGAATTCGGATACATCCGAATGTCCGAATTTACGAAAATTCGTCCGAATTTCGATTCGGAACGAAACGAATCGCACATGTCTAGCGTCTATGGCGCCCTGAGGCAAGTTCACAAAAACCGGGGGATACTGACTTAATCCATTATGCTCTGAGTCGATTGCATTGTTAACGTGTCACCTGGTACTGTACTGTGTAATATGTATGTCATCTGAAAAACCCAATAAACGGAAATAATTAAAGAATCCCTTGCATAATGCATAGTAAATAGAGCTAACCATCTTAATAAGGCTTATCTCACTGTCCCTGCACTATCCAGACACAAGCAAGGTCACAGGAATGCCAAGAGAAAGGGCAAAATCTCATAGGAATCAGCACATGCACTAGAACTACAATGGGAGCCTTGTTTTTGTGTTGGGAAAGTACAGAGTCCTGTCATTCAAGAGTCCAACTTCTTTGCAGATCGTGGCTGATAATGAAGAGGAGTGAACAGTCAAAGTCTGTATCTCAGTTTCTACTGCTCAGAGAAGCATGTGATAAAAAGTAACACACACTGTGGGAGTTAGGTGACATAGCTGTAACTTCTTATTTAACCCCTGCTCCAGCAGGCTCCAATGTTCTCATCTTCTCAGTGTTGCTCCTGGCTGTGGGCAGTCCCTTGGCATCTTAACATACAATGCAAGTCTATTGGCCCTAAATTGTATGTGGAGGAGGTAGGTGACCAAGACCAGGAGTGCCTTAGAGAGGAGGCTTCACAAGACCAGTCACACAGATGGAGGGAGTCTGCCAGAGTGAGGAGTAAGGAAAGTATTACCCCTTATCCCTCTACCCATAGACTTAACAAGCTATAAACCCTTGCAGTGTGTGTGTGCGTGCGCACTGTAAAAGTAGTTTTTTCTTGTGCCCAGAGTTGAGGTGTAATGCAGATTGTTCTTTGTCATTTTAATCAAGTACACAGAGAAACGCTGGGCATAACATCAACACATAAAATAAATTCAGAAATGCAAGGAAATATTTTTTGATGAAAGAAAACATAATTAACATATATAGGTAAAAACATAATTAAAGGTAAAAACATATGAAGGTAAAAACATATAAAAGGTAAAAACATAATTAACATATACATATATATATATATATATCTTTTTTCATTGTTCAGAAATGCAAGGAAATATTTTTTGATGAAAGAAAACATAATTAACATATATAGGTAAAAACATAATTAAAGGTAAAAACATATGAAGGTAAAAACATATAAAAGGTAAAAACATAATTAACATATACATATATATATATATATATATCTTTTTTGATTGAGAAATGTTATGATTACTGAGAACAAAAACCATTTCTGCCATTTCTAAGATGGCAGATCATAAAGATACCTCAAATGTTTTTATACTTCTATTCCTGAATTGGAGTACGGAGATCTAACCATTGTATTACATTAAAGCCTGCATATTCTCTTTCAAATGTAATCTATTCCATTTTCTTTTTTCTCATTATCAGAATTTGGAGGTTCACTTCCATGGATCATCAGAGCGTGTAGTTTTAGTTCTGCATATGCTGTATGGTATTCACAGCATAATGTTATATAGAATAATATAATACTGGTAAATGTCTTGATTGTGGTTAAGCAGAACCTAAAATAATATTCCATTTGATGGGAAATTCATCTCTTCAAATAGATTTCCAGTTGGGAGCAAGCTGTGTTGTGTTGTTGTGAAGGGGAATTACTACTACAAAATAATAAGCTTGATTTACTGTTCACTTTTTAAAGTGAGTTTTCACTGAGCTTTGCAAATAAGATAAGGCTGTGTTTACCTAAATTGACCAATCAAAAACAGCAGTGCTTATTATTTTATTAAATCAACCCCAATGGCTTCTTATCAGCAAACATCATGTACCCAAATTGTGACTAGGAATGAGATTTGGCTTCAAGTCGACCATGAGTTCGACCCAAACTCAAGCTGTTCGCAGTTTGTGAACTAAATGACCAGATCTGGCCAGTTAGCCTGAACCTCTGGCTGCAGCCAGAAGTTATTCATTTGGTGGCAGTAGGGATATTCAGATATCAAGTACTGTACTCGGTACAAGTACAAGTACATGTACAGATACTTTTCCAGCTCCAAGACTAGAATAGAGAAAAATTCTAAAGTTACGAGGCAGCTGTCATTTTTAAGGAGCTCCTGGGATTTGTGCATCCCTGGTTTAATGTACTATTTTTTTAAAAAACAAATATATATATAAGGGATACAGCAGTACCATTTTTCCAAGTACTGATATTTGTCCAAGTACTCACAGATACGAGTAGATAGTGTCATGTGACAGTTTTTCTAAAACAATACAGACTAAGGTTTTCAGGACAGTGGTGGAGTGCCAGAGCCAGGTACCAGCTGCAACCACTGTGACCCTGGTAGTTCTCGTGGAAATGCCAAGTATGGGTACTGGTATCTGAGTATAGAGGCATCCATTAATGAAAAAGTTAACCTTTTTCAGACACCTGATCCCCTTCAGGAATCGGGTGTCTGAGAGTGAGAGCAGAGCTGCATTTGCAGCTCCCGCCGTCACTCTGACAGCTGGTATAGATCGGGAAATCCCGATATATACCGGCTTTTTTTTTAACTTTCAGCAATAGAAACGTAATGTATTTATTTCTGAAAGAATGTTTCAGTTATCTGATCGTTGTTGGAACAATCAGAAAACCCTTAGTGACAGCTGATCCTGAAATGCTGCAAGATCAGTATTACTAAGGTTATTATTGGCTGTTCTTAAGTTTGAAGGAGTTTAATAATAGCCAAAAATGTATTGATTTTTTTATCAAGCAGTAATAGAGATTAATTCACAATGACTGCTTGATATAAATAAATAAAATACAAATATAAAAAGTTTTTAAAAATAGTGAAAAGTGTAAAAAAATAAAGTGTAAAAAAATAAAAAATAAATGTAACAAATAAAAATAAATGTAGCAAATAAAAATATTTAAATATATTGTTATACTATCATTTATATAAAAATTAATCCCTTACAATGAAAATCTGCAGCTGAGCTGCAGATTTGTTTTTCACCCTAAGGCGTTATTTTTTTAACCCCCTCATGATGTTCAAAGTATGTTGCTGTCACTAAGTGTGACACTTAGTGACGGTGACATTGTATGCCAGGTGACCACTTTTAACTTTAGCTTTTAGAGAAAAAATATTAAAATGTTAGGTTAGTAGTACAGAAACATTTCGGAAATCCTAGGGATGTGAGGTTTTTCCAAATAAAGGACAAATAAATGAATGTATTTATTGCATTTTTTTAGCTGTGCTGTTTTTGTAAAAAATACTACAAAATCAAAACTGAGGAAAAAGTGTTTTAAGTTTTTTCCTCTTTTTTTATATTTTATTTGTCCTAAGTGAGGCGTGATATAAATATATAGCCCTATCTGTCCTCTAAAAAACAATATATAATATGTGTGGGTGCACTTTGTAAGAAAGTATATTCCTGATATGAAAAAAAATCACACAGCAAAAATGTAAAAAGTGCTTCAGTCATTTACGAACGTAAAATAAAAACAAGCTCAGTCATGAAGGGGTTAATATAAAACTGACAGTTTGAGGAGGAGCAGAGGAGAAGGTCATAAAGTGCTTAGCCTTTTGATTGAACCTCCCTGATTCCGTCTGATTGGATTAAGGGCCTGTTCAGAGACACCCCCTAGAGGGCCCGCAAAAACCTGCTGCACAAGGCAGCCAGAAGTTCTTGTTTTTACATCAGCAGAAGAGGCTTGTGTAATATCAAAGAAGAAGCTCCCTTTAACATAACAAAAATAACCTTTGCAAGCCTTACTTTTGGAAAGAGCCCAACCCAGATTTATCTACTTTTGCATCGAACTGGACTCTGCTATAACTCACAAAACCCAGGATTTTGTTAAGTAAAATAAGCACATTTCCCCATTGAAGGAGAACCCACCATAAAGTCGATTATGCAACTATATTGTTTGTATCTTTGAACGATTTCATTGTAATCCTGTGGGATCGTGAACACTTCTGCCGTTATCTCGATTGTGTGTGATACTTTCCGGAGTCATCAAAGGAATCAATGCTGTTGACAGCAATAGAGTAGTATACGTATACTCATTGCTCTTTGTGCAGCCGCACTCAACCTCAAATTCGTCTTCAACCGTTTCTGCCGAATCTTGATTTCCTATCAATAAGGTCAGTGACACTGTTTCCTTATTTCCATTCATTTTCTACAGACATCTCCATAACATGGAGATTGGTTACAAACTGGATATTCTGGCACCTTGAAGATATAGATATCGGGAATTTACAAGCATATGAATGTATCCTACACGGATTGGTCATAGAGGATTTCTGATTAGTTTTACACATTATCCATGACCTGCTCTTTTCTATCAGGAAATCCCGTTGTACAATTGCTTTGGACATTTTAGGGTTCCATAATAGAACTAAAATAGAATTTTCTCTGACATTAGCCGAGTTTGAATTATATGCAATATATATGGGTGTTCTTTTTTTAAGTACAGTTATTCGTTGTGTGTATTTTGTTGAATACATTATATTTTTTATACACAAACAATATAGTTGCATAATCAACTTTATGGTGGGATCTCCTGAAATGGGGAAATGTGCTTATATGATCTAATATAGGAGACCCATCATTATGATACTAGAATTGGTAAATATTTTGCTGACATTTTGAGACCCTCCTTCCCCGTATGTGCATATAGATTTTGTTAAGTACCTTAATTTGTATTTCTTTTTATTTTACTGTTGTTATATTAATCTCTCTTTTGTAACATATTTTTCCTGCACCATTTATTTTATTAAAATGATCTTTTAAAATCATTAAGCACATCTCTATGCTCTAAATAAGAAGTTAGAATATCCAAGTCTCTGTGGAAAGTGCTACTGTATTGTAGAACCTGTCATATTCCTGTCTGAAAGAACAGTTGCATCACAGGCATTGTTTAAGTTTTGAATTGCCACAGCATTTGCTGGGAACGGTGTGTATTTCTGTTAAAACACGTGTTGACAACTATCGTTTGTGTGTTTAAAAGGTTAACTGCAGAGTTAACCAACCCGACGATCGTTCTAAGTCTACTGGCCTTAGATTGTTGTCCTGCGAGCTGGAAAATGTATTTGCAGGGTGAAACTGAGAATAGTATTGCCATGTCCTTGTGATGGCTGTGTAGGATCGGAACTGTGTATAGTCACATGTTGATGATGTACAGTGAGTTAAGACTGGCTGCTCCATCACAATCATGGCCTGGTCTACACTTCAAACCAAGAAGCAGGTTATGTAATTTTTGGTGAATAATTATAATAATGAATGTGCTGCGCTTCATCTAGAATAATAAATGAATAAACAAATCTCTATAATAAGTAAGTGCTAAATAATAGATGTAATCAAAGTGTTCACAATTGCTCTTCTTGTAAATATCAATCCTAAATAATATCCCTCTGGAAAGTTCAATCATGTATTCCCTGTTCAGATGTGCACAAATGTGGAATCACACATGAAGTGCTCAAGATTTGTCACAAGTGCACCACCCTCTTTATCCTTCCACTGTGAAAGTTCTTTATACAAAGTCCATACATCAACTCCAACTCCAATTGTTACCCAGGTGCTCCCCCTCTCAGTGGGCCGCTCACCTTATAAGTAGACCTAAGCAGGTCTAAAATCGCTTTATAGAATCTCCAATCAATCTTATTCAAAGGCCATCTCTCCACAATCGTTGCACAGAAAATGATGTCAGCATGTCATCATGACCATATCCAATAAAATATAAAAACAGCCCATAACTCCTTTATTTAAAAAAATACTCACATAAGGAAAGTTGACATAAAACTTCAAGTAAAATGTATGCCCGACAACTCTCTCTCCGTGTCACTGTATTCTCTGGGTGCAAAGAAGGATCAAACAGGAGCTGTGCTGCCGACCATGCAATCTCCAATCCACGTCTGCGAGACTCCGCCCTACACGTTACGTCACAATTGACTTCATCTGGTGCTATTTGTCATTAATTTTTGGGGACTGTTGCCTACTATAGGACATGTACTGTATGTGCAACTACAGTACCTTGGCTAAACCCTTAACTGACATACCTAAAAGAAACTGCCTAAGCTGCTACTTTGGACTAGAGTGTGAGAAGGCCTTCCAAGCCTTGAAGGAGGCACTGGCCAGTGCTCCTGTACTACCGGCTCCAGATTTTAACTGTCAGTTTCTGATGCAAACTGATGCCTCTGCATACAACTTGTATACCTGATCTAGGTGGATCAGTAAGGAGAGAAACATCCCATTCTCTACTTGAGCAGAAAGCTACTCCCCAGGGAGGTATCATATGTCACCTTCGAGAATGTCTTGCAAATGTATGGGCATTGTAGAAGCATTAACACTACCTATATGGCCACAGCTTCACAGTGATCATCAACCACAATCCACTCAGCTGGTTAACCTGTATTGCTGGGAAGAATGGCAAGCTACTCCATTGGGGCTTGATTCTTCAGCAATATTATTTCACCATACAATGCAGGAAGAGAAGCACATACAGCAATACAGATGACCTGTCCTGACAAGCAGAGATGGCATATGTTGGGCAGCACATTGGAACTTGCAATTATTTCCATGTGACCTCCTTAAGACTCTTTTTACAGCCCTATCGTATATAGTCTTGCAGAATACACATCTGGAAGACTATGCTTTGTGACCTAAGCTAACATACAGATGAGCTGCCCAGAGTTAGGTTTTATACAAGTCCCATAATGCTGTCTATGATTGAGCTAAATTAAAAATAAAAATATGACATCATTGTATGTATGAGAAGATGACAATTAGTTAGATATCAAACATGCCTATGCTATCATGTCAAGCAGCTGAATGAGGCACATTAAATCTCCTAAGGAGAATATGCATATGATCCGTAGCATGCTTGGTGTCTGACAAATCATTATTTTATACTGTATGATAATGTTTGTTGACAAACTTTAAAAGCTTGTCATCTGGAAATAATTATATAGCTAGAAAACTTTACATGGAGGGAGTGTCTGCTGGAGCATCATAAAACCCTTCAACACCCCCACATCACACCCCTCAGAGCCTTTGATTGGTTACCTAATTTTCATAATTGCCCTCTTCAGGGACCAAACAATGTGGCTGAATTTATAGCTCGGGAGCTCTTATTTTACCACCGAATTATGCTAAGAGTTATTTCTCTTTAATCTATCTTATTTTACTGTTGCTATTGTCTATTTTGTAATGTTTTCCTTGCATCATTTGTAATCTTTCTATTAAAAGTTATTTAATAATAATTGAGCTGGATCTCTGAATGCTCTAAATAAGATATTAAAAAATCCCTGCCTCTTTAAGGAAAGTTACCATATTTTAATTTCTGTTATATTCCTGCCTGGCATGGCAGCAATTGTCACAGACATTTCTTAAAGGTCAGAATTACTATAGCAGATACTGCAAACATGTGGTGGTTGTGGCTACCATTTGGTGTGTTAACTGTAGAGTATCTAACCCCAGTGACAATAACTCTAGAAATGTCTCTCTTTAAATAGATGTCCCCTTGGGAGCCATCTCTGTTGTATTGAGAAGAACAATAACTACTACAAAATAATAACTTCCTCAGAAGACTTCATGTACCTAAATCTCCAGGGGATGAATATAAACTAGGGGCGCAAGCGTGGGTCACTCCAAGTCTAAACAATTAGGCAGCATAGAATCTTGCAGAAAGAAATCCTCCATGAATATTTAATATTTAGGAATATAATATTGGTATAAGATACTGTATAATACTTAATAAATCATGTTGTGTTGTATTTAGAGATGTATATTTAAGCAAGAACAGTCCATTTTGTGATTGTGCGCTTGTAAACTCAATACCTCTGTGATTAAAGTCATACACATATGAAGGACAACTGACAGCAAGTATTTTCCCTGGAGTTCCTTTTTGCCAGCATACCAATCCATCCCATTCTGGCAGACAGCTTCCTTCTGTTCCTGTGTGAAAACAGAAATAAGTAAAATCAATTGTCTGGCTTGACTTATCAGATCCGTTTGCTTGTTTGGATAGAAGAGGGACCAGGGGATAAAATGATATTTTTAACACATGTAAATAGGATTACATTGTCAATTCGGCTATGGAAGAAACAGCACAATTTAAATCTGGAGATGAGACAGCATTTGTCAGAGAATGTTAGAGCAGAGAATGTTCATTTAACATAAAGAAGCCGTGTTTCCTTTTTGACTGACTTCAACTGACCTGACCTAACAAAATTAACAGGGTTAGCCGAGTGAATAACTGAGCCAAAGTGAACAGAGCCGAACGAGGTTCGGCTATTCACTCTGACTCAGTATGGCTGCTTTCATTTGTACATCGGCTGAAATCACCCGTACATCGGCTGCCTTCGGTCAGCCAAACATGCTTTGCATGTTCTGCTCAGCCAAAGTGCAGAAGCACTTCGACTCAGCCGATCCGGCAGCTCACTCGCTGCTGTTCGCCAGTATTCTCATAGGGGCCGAACGGCAGTGAGTGAATAGCCGAATGCCGCCAAGCAGCATTTGGCTTAGCTATTCTGCCCGGTACCTCCGTGGTACCAAACAGAATACAAAATCAGTGCAAAGAATGTTAAAAAAAATTAAAATTGAAAAATGATTTTAAAAATCTTCGAAAATAGGAAGATTAAAAAAAAATATTTACACAAGAAAAATACATTAAAAAAAACAAACAAAAACTATTGGGCAGAGCTAACAGTGACAGATAGCTCCGCCCAACTGTTTTCTTTTGGCCGACACCTGCTAGAGTCTTCTAGGAGTTCCTGGCTAATGAATAACAACTGGGCGGAGCTGGCCGTGACGTCACGGCCGACTCTGCCCAGTTGTTATTGTTTAATGACAGGTCAGTGTCCCCAGGTCATTTGGGTACGCCGATCTGTCTTTATACCTGGGCGGAGGCAGCCATGAGATCACGGCTGGCTCCACCCAGCTGTCATTTGTGGGATGAACAGATGGCATTTGGCAGGCTGTTCATCCCGCTTCAGCTGTCACTTCGGGTGAGTCGAGCCGCAGCACCTGCCTTTGGCAGCCGAAGAGAGGTGGCCAGTTCAGAGGTGGCCGAAGAGAGCTGAAGGATCAGCCAAAGCTACGGCTGTATCCTTCGGCCCAATAGTGAATAAGCCCTTAAGTGTTTGTTGGTGCTTTGTGTTTTTGGGTGTTCTATGATATCAAATTATCATGCAAACTATTATCAGGCTTCGGAAAACATTTTGCCATTGGAGGATGTGGGTGATTATCAGAGGGGATAATGTGGATGTCATTTGGGGAAGAAAAACAAAACATAAACATTTCAACCGGAAAATGACTTTTCCCATTATAATAACCTGTTAGGGTGTTCTGGTGTAGAAAAAAGTAATTCCTATTCTAATTTATGCCTTCACTGCTTAAACTATTTTATATCATTCAGTTCACTACAGTTGACACATTAGCACCTTTGTATACAGTATATACACTGAAAAATATAAGGATATGTCTATATAGAACAAACCTATATAGTATTTGTGTGTTTGAAAGTATGTGTTGCTCTGTTTTGCAGGAAACATGATATTATTAGTGGTTAAATGGTAACTTTTAAAGGAATAAAACAAAGTTACAAATGGATGCATAACTGAAAAAGTCACATATTCATAGTGTAGCATGGTCAGGAAAATGTTAAAAACCAACTCCACTCAAGAGTTATAATTTCATTTTGCATGGTTTCTGACAAGCTGAACCACATGCTGTTTTTTGTCACCTAAAGGAGTCCAGCAATGAGTGGTATAGTAGTTCTCATAGCTTGGTTTTGTTAGTTTTAATTAGGCAGCTTTAGACACTGAGAATAATTTAATGCCTGCAGCTTACATAACTATACAGACTCTGCAATGTGCTCCAAGCACTTTAACTGCCTGATCGCTTAACCTGCACCCCAAAACAATGCCTTCAATTAAATCTGTGCTTTTCCCATGCAGGGCAAAGCAACACATCCATCTAATTGCTGCACTTACCAGCTGAACATATTTACTTTTCCACTCTTCCAGCAATCTTTCGCCCATCGGGAACAAAAAGCAAAAGCTGGTGCTTCTAGGTATAGTGGATGGCCTGACTCACTGCATATTTGTTATAAACAGACCCCAATGTATAGGGAATGTATTGAATTAAATTGATCACTACAGTCCACTGGAGATTAGTGAAACTTGTTCATGTGTAGTGATATAAGATTTTGTTATTCCCACTTAGAAAAACCTTACTTTGGCTGATCGCTATTGCTGGAACTGCTAAACCTGGGCCACAAATGAGCTGTGTAACCTGAAGCACAGTCATAGCAATGATCAAATCAAAAGGATTTACTAATTTTGATCTGTAGAAGACCACAGATTGCATGAACCCACGCAATCATGATTCATAAACTGTAGGATTCTCTGAAGACAGGGCAAATTTGCATGCAGGAGGAAAAAAATTCTATTTGCCGATTCATTTGCTTTGCAAATTGATTTGCTCACCAATTTACTGTATCATATGTTCTCTTTAAATATCTAATTTATGGTTATTGAAAAATACCTTTAGCTGAAAAGGATATAATTCTTAGATCTATGCACTGTAAACAAGCTTTTATTTAACATTTTTAACAAAATGTAAAAATCCAACACTTTCCCCATATAAGTAATATTTAGCATACCACAACAGACACACATAAATACAAACAAAGCACCTTCTTAATTTACCCTTCCAACTACTGTATTGGGATTCACAAGCAAGAGAATCAGGATAATGAATGATTTCTAAATCTTCTGTTCACACTGCACTATTGCCACTAGAGGGCGTTGAGAATATGCATTTACCTATGCTCCTTGGCTCCATCTAGTGGTATGTCAAGTGTATGTCAAGCCACAATAAAAAAAATGATATACAGTACATCTCTGCAATATATACATATTTCCCTATGTTTTCCTTTTTGGAAATACTGAAAATGCTGAAAAATACCAGTCGATCCTGCCAGAAATCAAGTGAGCGCCTAACTTCTAGTGAGCTGACAATGTTTCTTCTGCTGCACTGAAATCCAAAGCAGTGTTGCGCTGCCCAGGTCTCCTCCTTGGACGACAGAATACCTCCTGTGTCCTCATAACATAAAGTGAAGGTGTTCTATAATCCAGAAGAGGAGAATTCTGGCAGGGATGACAACACTGCTTGGAATTTCAGCGCAGCACAGGCAGTGTTGTTAGCTCAATACAAGAAGTTAGAAACTCTTTTTGGCATGACAACATACACTACTACTAGTGTACTACTGAGTGAACCAAACCATATATATATATATATATATATTGCAAGAAATTACCAAAATACTATATGAATAGCAAATAGCAAATACTTTAAAGTGTATTTCCACTTTTGCAGTCAAATTTGAGAAAACCCCTCTATATGTTCATTATGTGTTTCTATCCACACAGCATACTGATAAATAACTTTTTTTTAAATTCCTACCATTTAGATGTTTTGTTAAACAGGCAAGATGTCTGACTCCAGGTTTTTCTTTGCCTTTTTTACAGTGGTCTGTCCTTATGGAAAGACTTGGGACTGAGACTTGAGGATTGTGGATATCTGATACGCTTCATTAACATACAATGAGCAAGCCACCTTAGACCCCTCACCTCTCACAGCCCCACGAAGATTTCAAAGAAATAGAAGGTAGAAGAAATGTTAACCCTTAAAACTGTAAAAGCAATTTAAACTCCAAGAAGCATTTTTTAAATTTCTTTTAGCTTATGCAATGTGAATGGTAACATGTAGCAAATATAAAATAGGTGTTATCCCAATTTGGCTGCTAAAGTGGAAATATACTTTAAATTAAAAAATGCACCAATTCAACTACACAATTTCAATACACCTTTTTATAGAAATAATGGTCATACACATATTACTGGATATTGAGTTCTTATAGGTATATTAAGCACCAGATATTGTTGATCCAGGGAATATCCAATAGTCTTATGGGATCCTCTGGATCAACAGTGGGCAATTGTGGGCATAGAATTCTGTTTAGGCTTTTCTTCTTTTTTTTCATATCTCTATAGGTTGAACTCGATGGGCATGTCTTTTTTTCAACTTGACTAACTAACTATGTAAATATGGGTGTGGTAAGCCGCCTATGCATCACATTCCAGCAGTGGACTAAAGGACTGCAAAAAGATTCCTATGAGCCCCTGGAGGACATGATGATGCAGGATCAACTCCAACTCATTAGTCCCACAGAGGTTTGACAGTTTGTGATTAGTAATGAGAAAACAAGGCAAAGTTCAGTTTGCTGTATGTTCAATGAACCTGGCAGGTGTGACGATAGTGTTGAGTCTATTAATATTAAATATGAAATTCTCTTCTCCCCCAGCTTAGAACAAATGCAGACCTCCATTCAGTTAAAGTGACCTCAGGATGCCCTTAGTTTGCCAGGCCTTTTCAAATTCCAAAAAACAGAGATCAGCTAATCTGGCCTGTGATCGTTATGTCCCTAGCACTAATTACCTGAGTGAGGTATCCTTTAGGGCCTTTACCTTTTTATGCCTGCCCCTAGTGAAAGTTAACCAAGCATAATGGCAGAGCACCCATACATTAGCAGTTGATAGATTTTGATAAATAACAGAGGGCCTGGTAAGGATAATGATCCAGGTGATCTCGTAGTCACACTTAGTCATAAAATTGAGCTATATTATCCACCCAATTTCAAAACTTGGAATTGGACAATGATATTGCAAAATGAATTGCACAAATAGCTGTGTCTCATCAAGACAAAAGCATACATGCCACAAATGGACTGACAAGCCACATTAAACCTTCTTGGCAAGGCAAAGGTTGTACACCTACCAAATTTAAACTTGATTAGAAGCTACAGTATTTTAATGAAACACAATAATTCATAGCCTATTTAGGATTAGCTCATGATGCTAGAAAAATATAATTATTAAAATGAACATTAACCGTTTGGGAAAAGCAGAGGAGAACCTCAAGAAGGCTTAGCCCTTCTGCTCCACCTACCTAGCCCTGCCTTATGGGCCAGCTCCATGACACCTCCTAGAGGGCTGACAAAAAAATGCTGCAGAGGCAACTAAGGAGGCTCTTGTTTTAACATCAAGAAGAGGGACTCCTGTAACATCAAGAAGTTTGTAACATCCCAGAAGAGTTCCCCTTTAACATCAGGAAAGAATCTGTGCAAGCCATTCAGACCCATCTTTGTTTATTGAACTGGACTCTGTCAGAACTCAAACCCAGGACTGTTAACTATTTTTTATTCCCTTTTATTTTACTGTTGATATATATTTGTCTCTCTTTATTATTATAGTTTTCTGCAGAGGCGTCCCGAGGCTGGGTGACACCCGGAGCGGTGTCCGAGTGTCTCCACGCCGAGACGTCACCGTGCATGCGCAGTATTCTGATACCTGCCGGCGGCCATCTTGGTAATGGACGCCGGCAGAGAGAGGAGGAGACCGCAACCCGGCGGGATAAGGTATGCCGCCGAGTCCCCTCCTCTCTCCTGATATTGTCGGGTGTTCGGTCCATGACCGAGCGCCCGACTTTTCAGAGGGGGGTGACACCAAAATGGCTGTAAGTCATTTTGGTGTCACCCCTCCAATGGTGTCACCCGGGTGTCATTTTGGTGTCACCCGGGTGCGGGCCACACCCCCCGCACCCTCCTTGTGACGCCACTGGTTTTCTGTATATTTTTCTGCACTGTTTCTTTTATTAAAAGACGATCTTGAAAATTGTTAAACTTTTCTCTACTCTTCACACCCTAAAGAACAACTTAAAGTATACTTGCCTCTGTGAAGAGCACTACTGTAAAGTGAAACCTGACATATTTAGTGATGGGCTGAATACACCTGAGTTTGGTTCTAATTCGAACTTTTGAACATGGAAAAAGTTAAAATTTGAACTTAGAACTCAATGAAAGTCTATGGGACCAGAACTCTAAAAATCAAATGTCCCCTTTTGTGAAGGCATATATGCAAGTTATTGGCCACGATATGGGGATTTGGGTACTGCCCGGAGGGGACATGTATCAATGCAAAAAAACACTTTTAAAAAATACAGTTTTTAAAGGAGCAGTGATTTTAACATTGCTTAAAGTGAAACAATAAAAATTCATTTAAATATTGTGCCTGGGGGTCCCCTTAAACTGCCTGTAAAGTGGCACATCTGTATAGAACCTGCTGCAGCAAAACTGACATTTATAAAGAAAAAAAATGAAATTTAAATTGCTGGCAATTGGTTTTCCCTTAATTTTGTAAACAACTGCTTGGGGAGGCAGCCTGTATGAAGAGGTCACATTTCAGGACACTTGAAACAAGGTTACAGATTTTTTGGATAAATTCTGGTGCCTCTTTTGCAGACGTTATATTAAAGTAACAACAGGTGCTTTAAAATTGGGCCTTTAGTGTTGGTTGTGCTTTCACACCGTAACCCTTCAGTGCCTGTTCACACGACGTCCGTTTTGTGTGCTGACCTGATCCGTACGCTCCTGCACTCGAAATGCATCCCAATGTATCCCTATGTGTTTTATGGGCTACAGTTCTCACGTGCGCAGTCCGTTCAGCTTACGACAGAAAAATACTGCATGTCACATTTTGTACGGTCAGGAAACGCAAACGCGTCCAAAACACACTGTACTGCAGCTAACATACTAACAGCCCCACTCCAGCAAAAAAGGAGACCTGATCAGGACCTGAAACTCATGTGAACAGGCCCTCAGAGTTATTGTTGATGAGTGAATGATTGGACCCTGCCCTAAAAATTCTAGTTATATATATATATACCTGTCACACAGGTGTGGAAGAAATGGGCCTTTGGTGCCCCCACACTGTAACCCCTCACAGTTAAGGTGCCCATACACCTTACGATTATCGGACAAAACTTTTCGTCCGATGATCGAATAGTCGTACGATTTTCGTACGGCAGCCCCATCCTGCCCCGATGATCGCAAGATTCATTTAGCCATAATTAATGAAAAGCACCTGGACGAAATGCGGTAATTGTTTTGCCGTATTTTCGTTAGCGCAAGCACAGTGTAGATCGTATGACTTTTGACGGACGGAAACGCCAGCAATCTTACGACAATCGTACGATCTAGCAAAGTTTTCAAACATGCTTGACCGTCAAAAGTCGTACGATTGTACAGTAATGTCGGTCGGACACTGCAATGCACACATACGATTATCGGACGAAAAGTCGATCGCATACGAAAATCGTCCGATAATCGTAAGGTGCATGGGCACCTTTACTCTTGATGAGCGCAGGAATGGGCCCTGACATAAAAAAATTTAAACTATATGCACCTGTCACACACGTGTCTCCTTGTTGACCTTTCAGACATAATGTAGGGCTTATTATAAAATGTTATTAGAGAATGCGGGATGGGAAATTGGTGCTTGGGTGAAATACTGTATCACATGTTGTACTGTTGTACAATGGTTTATTATTAAAAAAGTTAAAAAAAAAAAAGTAGGAGCACTTGCGATGCAGAGGGGGGAACACCTATGAGGCAGCAAAAGAACCTGCTGCTGTAAAAAAAAAAACTTTAAAAACAAATTAAAAAAGAAAACAAATGGGAATACTGGTAGCGCAGAAGGAGGAACACCAGCGATGCCACTGACACACACAAACAAAAGACAGGGAATATACAGTACTATACTAATACAAAAGACAGGGAATATACAGTACTATAATAATTTGATTTTGATTTTCCAGAGACTGACTGCTAGAATTCAAAATTCAACTGACTCTCAGTGGTGATTGCGGATTGGCTGCTATGAATGCATTGTGATGTTAGAATTACAGGAAGTGACAGTTGATTGCTGACTGACTGCTAGAATTCAAAATTCAACTGAGTCCCGGGATGATTGCTGATTGGCTGCTATGAATGCATTGTGATGTTAGAATTACAAGAAGTGACAGTTGATTGCTGACTGACTGCTAGAATTCAAAATTCAACTGACTCTCAGTAGTGATTGCTGATTGGCTGCTATGTATGCATTGTGATGTCAGAATTACAAGAAGTGACAGTTGGTTGCTGACTGACTGCTAGAATTCAAAATTCAACTTACTCCCGGGGTTGATTGCTGATTGGCTGCTATGGATGCATTGTGATGTCAGAATTACAAGAAATTAGAAGAAGTGACAGTTGATTGCTGACTGACTGCTAGAATTCCAAAGTCAACTGACTCCCGGGGGTGATTGCTGATTGGCTGCTATGAATGCATTGTGATGTCAGAATTACAGGAAGTGACAGTTGATTGCTGACTGACTGCTAGAATTCAAAATTCAACTTACTCCCGGGGGGTGATTGCTGATTGGCTGCTATGGATGCATTGTGATATCAGAATTACAAGAAGTGACAGTTGGTTGCTGACTGACTGCTAGAATCTAAAATTAAACTGACTCCCTGGGGGGAGATTGCTAATTGGCTGCTATGAATGCATTAAGATGTTAGAATTACAAGAAGTGACAGTTGATTGCTGACTGACTGCTAGAATTCAAAATTCAGCTGACTCCCGGGGGTGATTGCTGATTGGCTGCTATGTATGCATTGTGATGTCAGAATTACAAGAAATGACAGTTGGTTGCTGACTGACTGCTAGAATCTAAAATTAAACTGACTCCCTGGGGGGAGATTGCTAATTGGCTGCTATGAATGCATTAAGATGTTAGAATTACAAGAAGTGACAGTTGATTGCTGACTGACTGCTAGAATTCAAAATTCAGCTGACTCCCGGGGGTGATTGCTGATTGGCTGCTATGTATGCATTGTGATGTCAGAATTACAAGAAATGACAGTTGGTTGCTGACTGACTGCTAGAATCTAAAATTAAACTGACTCCCTGGGGGGAGATTGCTAATTGGCTGCTATGAATGCATTAAGATGTTAGAATTACAAGAAGTGACAGTTGATTGCTGACTGACTGCTAGAATTCAAAATTCAGCTGACTCCCGGGGGGGATTGCTGATTGGCTGCTATGTATGCATTGTGATGTCAGAATTACAAGAAATGACAGTTGGTTGCTGACTGACTGCTAGAATCTAAAATTAAACTGACTCCCTGGGGGGAGATTGCTAATTGGCTGCTATGAATGCATTAAGATGTTAGAATTACAAGAAGTGACAGTTGATTGCTGACTGACTGCTAGAATTCAAAATTCAACTGACTCTCAGCGGTGATTGGATCTATTACCTAAGTGAACCTTAGGTGCAGGGGCTTAAAGGGGCATGATTAAATAAAACCTCAGCCTACTCACTGTATATGAGGCACACCTATGCCATGGTCCTTTTACCGACATAATACATTGGAATCATTGTGCCACAAGTGAGAATCTGTCAGACACAAACCTCAGCACACTGGTTTTACAAAAATCCAACTCTTTCACCATATATGATGTTTTGCACACAGCTCACCTTCACAAAGAGCTTTCTGAGTACCGTATATAATGTACTCGGGGCCATAGGAAGGGTGAGGGGAGTGAGGCACACACTTCAGGCGCAGCTGGGAGGGGTCCTGACTCCGCCCCTCACCCCTGTTGCCATTTCGAGAGCAGGACGCCATGGCAACAGGGGCACCAGAAAGCCAACACAGCTCTGCCTCCCCACTGCTCTCCCCCGCCTGCATGAGCAGAGGCAGCGTGGATCCGAGGAGAAATGGGGCGCAAAGGCTGGTATAACCACTTCAAGCGGATGACGTGTATTTACATGAACCCGTGTGAAAGTTATTTCTAGCAGTGATCAGTCTTTATTACAGGAAACTCCTGCTGGATTACTGCAGAGATCTAGAGGAAATACAGAAAGCACACCAAGATACAACTAAGAATACACATGCGTCTCTTCCTGGAGTTCAGTTTTAGGTTCATACAGTATCAGGGGCATAACTAGAAATTACAGGGCCCCATAGAACAATTTTGTATGGGGCCCCGTGATTGCTAGTTATGCCCAGGGCAGCCATCAGGGGGGTACGGCCGATACTCATGTAAGGGGCCCGGGAAGCCTGGGGGGCCCGTCCGGGTCCCTCACATGACTATCGGCTGACGGTGAAGGGCCAGGAGGCGGAGGCCTGGCCCTAGCAGCGCAGGGCCCCAGCATTGCCACTCCAGCGGCTTTGAGACAAGCTAGGGCCCCATCAGCGACGCTTCTCGTCTGATGTCGGACTGGCCGGAAGTAACGTGACGTCACTTCTGGCCGGTCCGGCAGCCCACCTGAGACCCCTTCAGAGCCCAGCGCGTCACTAAGCCCTGCGTCCAGCGGCGCGGGGGGGGGCCCGGCCTGAGGCAGTGTAAGGGGCCCCAAAATTTCTGATGGCTGCCCTGGTTATGCCACTTGCAGAGCCCACCTGATATACCAAACAGCCCACCTGAAAGTGACCCTGCAGAGCCCACCATAGACTCTCTATAGTGGGCTCTGCAGGGTCTCAGCTAGGCTGCACAACTCTTACCTGTCAGCGCTGTCCGCCTCTGTGGTCGCTGGGCCCCGCCTCCTCTTCCGTCCCCGGGCCCCGCTTCCTCTTACATCACTGGCCTCACCTGCTCTTAGGTCGCTGGCCAGTGATGTAAGAGGAGGCGGGGTTGCTCTTAGGCAGGCTCCGCCTCCTCCTTCACTGCGAACGCCGCCCTCTTCTGCCGTAGCTGCTGGTTGTCACTGACACAGCTCCGCAGCGGCTGTCAGGGGAAACGCCACTGCTGAGCTGTGTCAGTGACAGCCAGCACCCTTACATGCCATAGCGACTCAGGAGGCCCACACGGCATCAGAGGGATGCCCCGGCCGGGCCCCCCAGCGGGCGCCTGGGTCGCTATGGCGATTGTTACGCCACTGTGCAGTATATATCCCTGTTCATTTGAGTCATGTGTTGTTTACCTTGCAATGCGGTGTGCTAACACACGGTTCTGTTATGTGCTGTGGTGTGTTTTTGATGCATCAATACATGTTTTCATGTGTCGTGTGTTCTTCTGTTTGGCCAATAAAGATTGATTTTCTGCAGTGACATTTTTGTGGACTTTGGGAAGGATCTACTTCCTGGACTTCTGTGTCTTGAGGAATCTGATCACAATGTCTGATTTCCAGCCGCTTGTTGTACATGAGGAGGAGAGGCGACATAAGAGGAGCAGGTTCCGCAGTCATCCACAGATCCCCACCCCACAAACTACACTTGTATACTACTTCCCATACCCCACTAACTTTATTATAAGGTATTGCTGGGACTTGTAGTCCTGCATAGCTGGTGCTATTCTGCATTGTACTCATACTCGTGAAAATGCCCCGATACTAAACACAGATACCGGTGTTCAGTCAAGAACGCCAACGTAGTCGAATTTGCCGACCTCAGCATCTGCGCTTGGGTGCAGACCAGTATTATTGAGGAAACAGGGATTTATTTACGAAGTATTTATTTTAAATCGTTAATTGTGACCGTTATGCCTTCATAGTTTCTTGCACCGGGGCCCTGAAGGTTCTAGTTACGCCTCTGACCCTAACATACACAGTGCGAATGGGGCCCATTGTGCTAATGTTCTCAGTATAATGTAGAGGAACAAACACACAGCACACCTCCTCTCTCTTCACCTACACCCTGAGCCCTCATATTAGGCCCCGTTCACATATAGCGACTTGTCCCGCTATTTCCGCCGCGATATCGCACATTTTTGCCACGCGATATCGCGAGAAGTCGCCGGCCAATGCTATTCAATGGAGCTGTCTTAACTCCATGTCGCTCGTCGCGGTCGCAAGTCGCTTCTACCGGACCCTTTTTTCTGCGGATTTTGCTTTTTGCTGGATCGTCGCTGGAACGTCGCCCCGAAAGTCGCGCTATCCCGGCCGCTGCAAAGGTATGTCGCTATATGTGAACGGGGTCTAATAACCTCCAGCTGTATAAGGCCCCATTCACACTGCGCGATTCGCAAATTGAGCGTTTGTCGCGCGATTTGCATTTTGCGCAATATCGCGCGATATCGCGCAAATGCAGGCATTGAGCAAGCTGGAATCGCAGCAAAATCCGCTCCAAAAAGGGTCCTGCTGTCGCGACGCACGACCCGCGACAGCAGGACCCTTTGCCCCATTGCCAAGCATTGGAGAGCGATATCACGCGGTAAATAGCCACGATATCGCGGAAATTACCGCGCAATAAATCGCTCAATGTGAACGGGGCCTTAAGAAGAGGAAGAGCCGTGTGCTGAGGGCGGGGTTTAGTAGAAGTGGGCGTGGCCGATGATAATCAGGAAGAGAAACGATGGTCAGGCTGGCACAGCAGTGCCGTAATGTGGGAGGAGACTTCTACGTTGTAGAGCTCGCTGTGCCCTGCCCTGGGACCTCCTTCGGTGAGATCCGTGCTGGAAGGTGAGGATGAAGTTTTTTTGTTGTGTTGTTCATTGACTTATCGCTGCGGTCAGTGCAGGGCGATGTGTGTTCACTTAGCGTGCACAGGACAGGTGACCGCACCATACACATTAGAACGGGCTCAGTCCTCATACAGAAACATACAGGCTAAGCATGTTCGCTATGTGCCAGCTGTGCAGGAGGGGCGAAAGGGTGTGTGACCGTGCGCAGTACAGGGTTCAGAGCTCCCATAATAATAGCTCACCTCCCAAGTGTCCCTATTCTGGAACCAGATCCCTATGTCCATCTCTACTCCTCAGCTGTCCCTGTGTTTGATCTGATGTACAGATATCTATGAAAATGTTCTAAAAAAAGCTTCCAAAAGTCTCATTCTGGACCAAGGGCTTGTTTCCACCAGCACGCGCGTCTACCGCAATGTCCCTTGCCCGGGACGCAAGGGATCGCATACCTAAAGTCAGACACCCCCCCACCCGAAGTACGATTGGCCGCACAGGAACCCGTGGTAATAAAATGCAGTGTGTTCCAGTGTGATGTGTTTGCAAAAAAGCGTGCATGCACTATTTGTTGCCATCCTACTGCACTAGAACGCAGGGCATTTTATTACCATGTGTGCCTGTGCGGCTGATCGTACTGCGGGCAGGGGGCGTGTCTGCAGTACCACTGACTTGAATGGCACTGCCATGCCCTCTCCTGCCCCAGAACACAAGGAGGCTTTATGTATGCGATCCCTTGCGTTCCAGCCACGGGAGATTGCGGCAGACACGCGACCTGGTGGAAACAAGCTCTTAAACCCTCCTCTTATCGTGTTTGCTGTTTAGAAGTCACTATAAAGGAAAGTAATAGAGGAAAAAACATCTCTGGGTTTTGCTGATCCTTTTTGGCATGTCTGGGGGTGTGTCCATTGGATACATAAAGAAGGAGGGGGCTGTACAGATGGGAGGAATTAAAGTGATATTGACCCCTTAATGTAGGGGCTGGTGCAGACTTTGGCGATCCTGGAGACGCGATCATATGCGGGTCACACAACGCTTGCTGCATGGACCCATTGATTTCAATGGAGTTACATCCGCACAGCAATCGCTAAAAAAAGGTACATACGGGAACGCACGGCACATCAATGCCTGTGGTCAGGTCCTAAAAAATTCTGCAAGCACTATCTTTTTCTGACCGGACCGCAGGCATTGATGTGCCACGCGCTCCCATGCAGCCGATCGCATTGTGGCCGGAGGGCGTGGCTGCGGTGCCATTCACTTCAATGCACCGCACCGCCCCACAACAAACTGAGCCGGCTGCAATACGATCCAGTGCGCTCTGGCCACAATCGGGCTGGAACGCACTGAGGATGGTGTGAATGAGGCCTTCTAAAAAGGTGGGCCTCCTTGTAGTAAATATTTTTTTTTAAATCCCGCCCATGGTGCGATCGCCAGCTCTCGAACGCGTGGCACATTAGTGCCTGCGTTCTGGTTCAGTGCCATCTGCAAAAAATGCTACATACACTATTTTTTGCAGATCGCAGTAATGTGCCACGCGTTCGGGTGCCGGCGATTGCACTGCGGGCGGGGGGCTTGGCTGCGGTACCATTGAGTTCAATGCACCATCACGCCCCCTCCCTCCCCAAAACAAAGTTAGCCAGCTGGGTTGCTTTCCAGAGGCCGAACGCACTGGAATACACTATTGCTGGTGTGACAGGACCCTCAAGATGATGGTTCAACAACAGCTAGGCGGAGAAGCTGACTGGTTGCTATGGGCAACTGCTCCAGATTCTGTCTGCTCCAGTTTTGATCAATTCTGCCCCTGGAAGTTTCATGTTGGTATCATTAATATTACAATTGTCACATTAATACCACCATTGTAACAGAGGAGAGATAATAAAGCAGGATCTAGGCGAGGTTTGCTTCTTATCAGTGACTGAGGAATGTGTTTACATGGAGAGAATGTGTGCGGTGTGGAGATGATGATAGGGGTGTGTGTGTGTGCGTGTGCGTGTGCGCTGTATATTAGTGTATAATAATTTTTAAAAAAAGCACCTGGATGAATTGCGGTAATCGACCGCAAGTATTTTCGTTTGCGCATGAGCAGTGTAAATCGTACGAATTTTGACGTACGGAAACGCCACCAACCTTGACAGGTGATCTAATCCCTCTCCACGTTATCCAAACCTAAAAAAAATTGCCTGCATTCCCGCCTCTGTCGAAGGAGAAATTTTTCATGACAAAAAATCCAATTATGGTCAACGTGCCAAATGTTTCCCTGCCTGGAACGGGCTACTATGTTTTCAATTTATGCAGCGCCAACAAAAAAGTGAATAAATAAGTGACTGATTAAACAATAAACCGCGAGCAATACACAATAAAAATTTGTTAAATCGTGTTAATCCATGACATAATTATGTCATGGATTAACACGATTTAACAAATTTTTATTGTGTATTGCTCGCGGTTTATTGTTTAATCAGTCACTTATTTATTCACTTTTTTGTTGGCGCTGCATAAATTGAAAACATACATGCTTTGACCTTTACGGTCTTTATTGCCGCAGCCTTCTTATTTAAATCACTTAGGTTAGTTTTAGATAGAACACTTTTGTTCCACCCATCCAGCGCAGAATCAATTAACACATATACTGGAACGGGCTACTACCAAGTCGGTTGCGTCTGGCTTGATGCCCCCCACTCTCCGGACGGGCGAAAGAGACGCGAGAACATCGGTGGAATTGCCAGCATTCCCGCCTATGTCGAAGGAGAAATTTTTCATGACAAAAAATCCAATTATGGTCAACGTGACAAATGTTTCCCAGCCTGGAACGGGCTACTACCAAGTCGGTTGCGTCTGGCTTGATGCCCCCCACTCTGCGGACGGCAAAAGAGGCACGAGAACATCAGTGGAATTGCCTGCATTCCCGCCTCTGTCGAAGGAGAAATTTTTCATGACAAAAAATCCAATAAAAATTTACTCTGTCAACTACTGTTACTCTACTCAACTAGGTCATCAAGTGCCTCAGCCCAGAAAGCAGCTGCTCCGCTGGCATGAGCGCTGCTGGCACGAGTTGGGGAATGAGAGATGGGCTCATCTCTCTCCTCCTCCTCCTGTAGCAGCATTACCATATCTCTTTCTCTATCATGCACCCTTGCAATCAGACGATCCCTCCATGCAGTGAGCGCGTTGCACCGCAAAGCCATCTTGCCCTTGATGCGTGGGTCACATAAAGCAGCCAGCATCAATTCCGGGCAAGTGGCTGTCAGGTCTGCAATGCGCTTGACCATACCACTATGCAGGCTCCTCATCTCCTCCTCCTCTTCCTCCTCCTCCTGTAGCAGCGTTCCCATATCTCTCTCTCTCTCTCTCTATCATGCACCCTTGCAATCAGGCGATCCCTCCATGCAGTGAGCGCGTTGCACCGCAAAGCCATCTTGCCCTTGATGCGTGGGTCACAGAAAGCAGCCAGCATCAATTCCGGGCAAGTGGCTGTCAGGTCTGCAATGCGCTTGAGCATACCACTATGCAGGCTCCTCAAGAGTGTCACAACCTCAGGTAGAGGGACACCACCAGGCAACAATTCCTGAGAGGACAGTAACCTCTCCAATTTGTTTTGGAGATGGGTGAACAGGGGCAGCTATGCTGGCTCTCTCCTGGCTCAGGTTTTCAGTGACTGCCTGAATTGGCTTCAAGACAGCCACAACCTGTGCAACAATGGCCCAATCCTCCCTGCCTAGAGGTCTTCCAATGCCAATGTTGTGCTCATAGGACATGGCATGGAGAGCCTTTTGCTGCTCCAGGATACGCTCTAGC